GATGAAGCCTTCAGCAAGTCCCAAGGAAACGCACTCCTCTCTAACAGCCCTCCCTGTAAATCAAAGCTGGGAAGCAGAGTTTGAACTCCGGGGCAGCTGTCAAGTGACCAAGGCTGTCTGCGTCTCTCGGGCTCTGGAGGTCACTGTGGAAATGATCCTGACATCAGTTTGGTATTAACCTGGTGGTCTGCAGAGTAATCCCAAGCGTTTCCCATGATTCCAGAGTCCCCATCCTGGGGTCCACGTAGAAAACTATACCAAATAACACAGCAGGAAGGTACCAGATCTGTGCATTTTTTCAGATCTCAAATTTTAAAAAGCCCATGAAGATGAATGACTCAGGCATGAGCTCTAGAAGCCTGGACTGTCGCTGGGTGGGAGTGGGAACAACCTGTCTCATTCACAAGACCCCTGTTCAACTGACGTACCACTTCCACACCAGCCCCGCCGATGGGCACGAAGATGAGCTTGCAGGATCTCTGGAGAGGCAAGGAAAACAGCCCCAGCATCCTGAGCAGGGGATGGAGACTGAAGGCCCATTGAGACCTGGTCACCCAAGGGAGCTGGCTTCTTCCTGTTCCCAGTCTCCATCCACACACCACACAGGGCTAGATAGGCATTGTTAGTTGGAAACTGGATTCCAGCTCGAACCAAACTACTGAATTATTTCAATGTGCCAGGCATGGGCAGCTGTGTGTGGGAGCTCACGAGGAGCTGGGTCATCCCCTGACGATCTCCACAGGCAACACAGGGCCCAGAACTGCCATCTCCCTGCCTCGCACCTGGAAGAGCTGCCTGCTCCGCGGAGCACTTCTGGGTCCCTCCGTCCAAACTCCCCGTGCTCCTCCTCAGTGCTCCAACCGCATGCTGCTCAGGACTCTCCTCCCTGGGTGCTAGGCTGTTCTGAGTGTTAGTCTACCTGTAGCTCACTTCTACTCAGGCTCATTTTCCTGTTCACTGTTCCAACTCTACTGCCTCAACTCGACTGCCTCCAACAGTGCCTGGCGTGTGGAGAACGCTCAGCAGACAGCGAGTGCAGCATCACTGCTGCCACCAGTCAGCAGGGACAGTGGCCCACTAAGCCAGTGGGTGGGGTGGAGATTTCAAACAGCAAAGTACTTCCCGGAAGGCTTGGGAGCAGTGTCTGTAGCACTTCCTTGGAGCCTAGCTATTCTCGTTGGAAGCTCATTTCTATCCCCAGTGTCCTCCTCAACCAGTCTCCCCCAGTTCCACTCACTGGGGCAGAGCAGCGACCTGAATGCACAGAGGAATCAGGGACAGATGGTGAAAACTATCTGGTGACTCGTCGGTCTGCTTTGCTCCACCCGAGTCAGCAGCCAGGGTCTGGGCACTCTGGGTTCAAACCAAGAACAAAGCTTTGGGGTCGCAGTGGGAGGTGAGGCAGGGCAAGCGAAGAGCTGGGAGGTGGAGCCAGGAAGCGGTCCTGCAGTAGGAGGAGACAAAACAACCCAGCAGGGTCAGGGAGTTCTGGCCAATGGTGCCTCCCAGGATGAAGGCGGAGGAACTTCCGAGTTTCCTGTTTTTATGACTTTCTCCTGTGGAGGCTGGAGTTGTACACCAAGCACATGTAGCCTGCTCAGGTGCACAAGTCTAAGGGCACAGGGGTACTAGAAGCTGCAGGGTTCTGAGTTCCAGTGCTGCTGGCCCCCGTGTCCTGGCTGCAAACAGAAAGGACTAATTCATGACCTCTGACGGCCTGGCCCAGAACTCGGATGACTGTCCAAGTCAGACAGCGTGCCAGGGCCAAAGGAATTTTCCAGGGGGATACTTCCTAGTTATCATCTATGCAAACTAAAGTAGTTTAAAATGTGTATGTGTTTATTATATCAACTAGTATTTTTACTGAAACATTTTTAATGATTTGAGCATGGTTGTTTTCTCTTAATTAGTAAAAAAAGATCTTAATCATGGTAAATAGCTATTATTTATAAACAGGATGTCTACTTATTATAAAAATTAAGAGAAGAATGTTCCTTAATCTTGCTGCGAAAAGACAATATTTGGAATTGTGCTCACAGCTTCTTCTGTGCCTAGGCAGAATGTCCTGCAGAAACAGGCACAATCTTCTCCAGAGAATATTTTTGTCAAAGGTGTGACAAAGAATCTGTGTTAGAGAATTCATCTCTCACCTAGAAAGCCTGCAGGAGTGGTGGGTTTTAATCTGTTCGTCTCTGAGATGTAAAAAGGTTACGTCCCACGATTCTGCCATTCACGTTGCCAGGGCTAGCAGAAATATCCCCTACAAGTCCGATGAGGTGGGCCTTCCCAGCAGCAGGAGGAGACCCATACATGGACAGATCCCTTTTCCTAGCACCATCTAGCTGCCGGCTAGCATTTCAAAAACATGGAGAACCAGCCAACCATGATGGCACACACCTGTAATCCCAGTGCTGTGGTAAGCTGAGGCAGGAGGATGGCAAGTTCATGCCAGGCTGGGAAACTTAGTGAGAGCCTGTCTTAAAATTAAACGCTAAAGGGCTGGGTTCAATCCCCTGTATTGGAGTAAAGGGAAAGAAAAGCAAAGGGAAAAGGGAAACAAAAAGGAAAGAAAAATGTGGAGAGCAACACGCACCCCAGATATGCACAGTAGAGATGGTCTGGGTGAGCTCTTCCTGGGATCTCAATTCAAACATATTCTAGTTGGCTTTGCAGAAAATCCCTTCATCTTCAAATTAATGACCTAACATGCAGTTTGCCTGCCCCATTCTGTGGAGGAGCAAACAGAAACTTACAAAGGTAAAGGATTTGCCCAAGTCTCTGAAGTTCTCCACTCTGACTCCTCCCTCTCCACTGGCTGTACCCCAGGCTCTGCGTTCACCAGGCGCTGCACTGGGAAGCAGTGCCCGTGTGCTCTCTGGGCGGCAGCCACCCTCTGGGAGCAACACCAGAAAAGCCCATTTCCTAGAAAAGTTTCCACAAAGACAGCACTTGTCTGGCCTGTTGAGGACGTGGAAAACCTCAGATACACGGGGTTCAAATTCTCATGCTGGCCCCAAATCGATGTTTCAGACTGCAACTGTAGAAGCCCTTAGCTATAAAATGAGGAGGAGCACCTGAAACCACACAAAGGGACCTAGAATACGGACATCAGATCCTCCCTGTGAAAAGGAACCCAACATGGACCCTTGAAAGATGGAGTCATGGAGAAGCCAACCTATCTTAAAGATGCAGCATCCCTTGCTGGGATACCTGTAGCATCTATTCAAAGCTATGTTTAATCATGTGTAACTTTAGTCTCCCATGCTAGGCTGTAAGTTCAGGAGGAGAGAAACGCGGGGTTCATCCTTCACTCCGTGTCCACCATTCCTGGTCACGCAGTGAGGACTCAAAATGCAGGAAGGAATGGGCTGCAGTTAAGGACAGAATGCTTCAGTCAGAAACTCAAGAGGGCCGGGGATTTAGCTCAGTGGTTCTGGCGCCTGCCTCGCAAGCACAAGGGCCCGAGATTGATCCCCAGCGCCCCCCCCCACAAAAAAAATAAATAAAGAAAAAGAAACTCATCAAGGAAGCTCGGAGAGCTGAGGTGGACTCCGCAGTCCATCAAGCCCAGGCTGGGAGGGGAGGTGCTGGTAAAGAGCTGTCTACGGGTGATACGACTGCCGCCCCTTGGCTCACCCACAGGCTGCTCACACTGATACACCACTTGCAATCAGACACCGAGGCGGTGCCCTTCTGGGGTCACATGTTGGGTCAATGAACTGCTACAAGGCCCTTTCCCCAGGGACCCAGCCTGTGCTTCAGAAGCAGCTAGAACAGTTTGCTCAGGTGAAGAAAGCGTCCCCAGGAAGTCCTCCAGGCCAACCCACAGGCTACCCCCAGAGGGGTCTTAAGTCCCGACGCTCTTGATTTTCTGTTTCTTATCCCAGAACACTTTCAGGAACTTCAGGGATGTTATGAGGATGGAGATGATAAAAAGAACTAGCATAACATAGACGCTCAATACATAGTATGATTATCAGTGTTCATTCAACAAGGCACACAACTAACCAGTGTCTACCATGTGAGGCTTCCACGAATAAAGATGCTGTTCTGGCTGTGGGCTCATGGGGCACAGTCCACAAATCTAACAGGTCCACAAAGCCAGTAAGAAGACCTGGGCAGAGCTCATGGAGATGGCGCAAGATGAATTAAACAATGACGATGAATCAGCCCCCGGGGCCACCTTTCCCTTCCCAGGGCAGCGGTCTGCAGTGCTTGTCATGATGACCAGAGGGCACTTCCAGCTTTTCATGAATGGAGACCAGAGCCAAGACCATGACGCCCCGACATCCTGCTCAGGGAGCTGCCCTGCCGAGTCCTGGCGCCACCCTGATGCCCAGCACGGGGTGCAGTGACATGGGGTGGGTGGGGCAGCCAGGGTCTCCACACAGTGCAGGAAATAAACACTGGCTACAGGGATGGTGCATGGGTGGGGGGGGAGGGGACTTGGCCAGGACAGGGCCTCAGTTACTTTTTTCAGTTAATGGAGGAGCTAGTTGATCGAGAGAGGGGAGCTTTTCTCTGGCCTGTAGCTAATTCTCTGTGTGTGACCCTGGTGCCACATGGGCTTGATATTTGCCCTGTCTGTGGTGGCAGCTCCAGCTTGCCAATTTCCAAACCCAAGCCCAAGATGCAAGGAGACAGAACGGTCAGAGGGTTTGGCCTGGTTCGTTTCCTGACCTACCTTTTCCCCAAAGTCATCATGACCCTGTGGGATCTGGTGGGCCCTGGACTGTTCTTACTTTATGGTACTGGAAAGGGTAACAAAACATACATTTAGAAAGAACAAGCAGCGCAGTTGGGGACACACACACATCTACACACACACCCCAGCAACAAGGCTCTCTGGTGAAAAGCAAGCGGAGTGTTTTTTCTTTCAAATTCACAAACACTGAATTTACAGCATCAAAGCACAGCAAGTGGAAAAGGAAGCCACATGTGCACACTGGCATCGGATCTTCGCACCCAGAGAAGCGCAGAGCGCGCATGCGTATACGTACCCAGCCTGGGCACTGTCGCGGTACGGCAGCACGGAAAATATACTGCACAAGGATCTTCTGCCGCTGATAAGGACTATTCTAAAAAGTGAGGAAAAAACAAACAAACAACAAACAAACTAAATGCAAAGACTCAAAAAACATTTCTACAGCAATTAAGCATTCACAGAATTCATAGCAGTTATTTGCACACTCCCGCCACCTCCTCCGACAGATGGCATTCTGCTCTCCTTGCAAAACACAGCCTCAGTACAGCCAGCTGAAGTATGCTGCCTCTCCTCACCCAAATACGAACACGCGCAGCCCCAGCGGTGCGTGTCCTTCCTCCTGGGAGGGGTGCTGGCTGAAGGCTGGGCGTGCCAGACGGAGGCGACAGCGCAGAGCCGGGGCAGCTGGTGCTGGCACAGTCACGCTGCACTTACACCATTGCCCTGTCTTCTGCAGTAGCACTAGCGCCAGACGTGAGCAGGGAGACACTCAGATGCCATAACGATCATTAGGCTTTTTTATGGGCTGGCAACATGTTAGGCTCTGAGAATAGATCGAAGGGAACAATTACATAATCCATCTTCACTTCCATTCCTGCTATAAGAAACTGCTGGAAACGGTTCTACATGATGCTCTTATGCAATCAAAATCCACTTAAAAAAAAAAAAAAACAACCACCACCCTCCAATGTACTTATCCTGGCTTCTGAGAATAGCTTTCGGCAAAGGGAATTGCTGATGAATAAAAAAATGGGGAAATGAGTGGAAGAGATTTTAAAAACGTTCTTTTTGAGCACAAGGTTAATATATACCATACGCCAGGCTTATTTACTTTTGTATAATTCCCTTCAATAATCGTAAGTCCTAGAGAAATGCTGCTATTGAATGCATCAGGATTTGGGGATTTTAAGCTTGTTGTAAAACTGATATGGAATTGCCTCCCATCCTGGGCTAGTCCAGTTCTGGGGCACGGCAAACAGTGTCTCTGCTCCTGGCTGCCTTCCAGGGTCTGTAGCACAATAACTCCCCCCTTCCCTGCTCATCAGTCACCCTCATAATGCTCTCACGGCTCCCCACCTTTAAAAACTCCTGCTGCTTTATACCTGTGCTTTCCCTACTGCCTGCCCTGGAACACCTGGTAAACTACTGATTTCTTCAAAACCTAACTCAGGAAGTCATCCCTCCAGGGAGTGTTTCCTACCCCTGACAGGGTTCGCTGCTCTCTTCAGGGCTGCTTATTCCACAGCTTATCCCGGGTGATCTGTGCTGCTAGTCACATGCCTTGAGGTCAAGTCCAAGGGTCAGCACCCAGCAGCATCTCCGTAACAGTCCATGAGATGTCACTGAAATGCAGCCAGGATGAGGAGCAGAATTCTGAGGATTCACAGCTCAGGGCGGAAGCAACACTCCCGGAGTCTCACACCAGTACTGGTACCTCTGTTTGACCTCAGGGAGCTCACTAAAACTCTGAGCCTCACTTTCCTCATCTAAAACATGCACTAAATTAGGAGCCATCTTACTGGATTGTTGAGGTCCACGGTGGGAGAATCCTTAGAACAGTGCCTGGCGAAAGGTACGCCCACTCAGGAAGCAGGACTGTCCTGCCTGTGGACCAGCTTCTTGGGCTGAATTCTAGCAGCAAGTCCTTGGGTTCAGAGCTCTCCAGGTCTCTGTGCTATATACCCAGCTGTGAAGTCACAAAGGCCGTCCTGACAGCTGAGGGTCCCCGTGCATGGCCCATCTGCAACAGGGGAACCCACACAGAGAGATGTGTCGCTGAAGGGAGATGCTGCTCATCAGATACCACAGGCCCCAACTGGTCACTGTAGCTGGACAGAGCACTGTGTCTGAGTGGGCCAGGAAGGCCTGAAGGTCAATGCCTCAAGGTCACACTGGCTGCACATCAGCCAAGTTCCTGGGGCTCTCGGCATGGATCCAGTGACAGAGCTTGCAGCACAGCAGTGTCCCTGCCAATTTACTGAAGCAAGCGTAGCCATGGCTGGTGCGCACTACATACTGGTTACACCCAGATGGTAAGCTCACCAGCCAGTGAGGTGTGGGCTGGTAAGGGACACGCTGGCAGAGGTGGTAACTTGAATCTGCACCCCAGGGCTGCTCTTCTCTAACCTGCTTGCAAGAGCCACACCTGGGGCTTAGATGGGCACCCAGGGACTTCCTGGACACCAACAGCCCATCTTCTCCAGGATGTCACAGGGTGGCCTCCCAGCCCGGCCTGCAGGTCCCCTACGATTGAGGGATAATGGCAGCATCGATGACACAGCTGCTGGAGGCTCCAGTTCCCCCTTCGGCCCACCCCAGCCAGCCAGGAGCAAAGCCTGGAACCACTGCTTGCCCTGTCCCTCACCATCAATACCTCCTGTGACAAAGGAAAGAGCAGGCTGACCAACTTGCCAGCCTGGCATTACTGCCTGTCCTTCATTTCCTGGCCCTAACATGTCCTTCCTCTCCCCACATCCATTTACAGAAGGAGGAGATCAGTGCAAGTGCACCCCAAGTCTTCTCGGTAACATTTTGACAAGCTGCCTTCTAGGAAAGGGGTGCACTATTGTATGCCATGCACACATGTTCCTTCCAGCTGGTCCTCACCCCTAGGTCAAGGAGAGGCTGCCAAAAGTAACTGGTTCAGAAAAACATGTTACTGTACTGCAGAGCAACTGTGAACATGGACAGTTCTCCAACAATTCCAATAGGGCTGGTTCTTCTCTGACTGGCCTGTCCTAAGCAACTGGAGAGGGGAGGAAGGAGAAAAAGTCTTTCCCTTCCATCCTTGGGTTCACGAACTCCCACTCTGCAGGTTCTGGAGGAGGAATCCATACCAGGGACCTACACAGCAAGCGCTTCTGCGACAGGATTGCCAGAGAAGATCTGAGAACACACCTGAGTTTTTTGAAACACTTCTGCATTGTGGGGAGGGGTACCTGGAGGCGTCGGCCAGGGTAGGTGTCAACAAGTGGGGAGCCCAGGCTCCCCAGATTCCTGCACTAAGCAACTTGGAGCAGCGTGACTGTGATTCTAACAGGTCCCAGACACCCACAGCTACGTTTAAAAACTTTGCTTAGTACTGGGAAACGACATCCAGAAAGAAACTCAGACTTGGTGGCCTCCTTCAAGTTCCTCTGTTATTTTTGAAAGAATTAAATCAGATGCTGGTAGTAAAGAAAGATGTAAGACAGGCAAACTCCATTTCCACTGAGCTTCAAAAAGGGGCCATGTTGCTGCCTCCAACCACCAGAGCTGCCCTCTCTTATGTGCAAGTGGCACACAGAAAGTCCCCATGATTTTCCCCATCAGACACTTCACTCGAGGTCAAGGTCACCAGAAAGCATTACATAAAAGACCTGAGAAGAGAATTAGCTCCAGGGAGATGGGTCTGTGAGGCGTGAAAGGTCACATTTCCACACAAACATCTGCCTGAGGGAGAAAATAGCACAGGAAAAAGCTCCACAGCACCTCCCATGTGGGCCAGACGCAGTGTTTTCCACTTCCAGGGAGTTCTAAGCCTGCCCTGCAGCTGGGACGCCGCTAACCTTCCTCTTGGTGTGGCCTCCCTGCTGTGCCCTTGGGAAAAGAAGTGTGTGCGGTAGGAATCTTGCGACTTCAGATGCCACAGCTTCCATGGCCACGCTTCGCTCAGGATCCTGGAGTGTCCAGACCCGACAGCCAAGAGACCCACAGGTCCCTCAGGTCACCACGGGCCACTTCCACCCCCCCTCAAACCACCACCTGCAATGTTTAGCCAGGGAATGTCTAGCACCATCCAGGATTCTCAAGTGTTTCGTTTTCTGCCAAAAGCTGGCTTCATGTTCCGTTTCCAGAATCCCGGGGAGTCTGTTAGCTATGGGATTTGATCTCCTGCAGGTGGAATATTCCATGATAGCAGAAATATTCTCTTAAGGACATTAAAGACAAGCAACCAGCTTCCAGAGGCAGAGGAAGAGAAATCACATTTGCAACAATGGGGGAGGAATACAGTGCTCCTTGAACACAGCCTGGTTGTCCACAGTGGGCACCGTAAACACACGCAAACACATTTCCCAAACTCATTCCCTACACATCTGAGGGCGGGGGAAAAACATTTGAAAATGCTGGTGCTGTGGGTTAAACTGTGTTGTCCTCAAAAGACATTTTGAGGCAGGAGAGCCCCTCTTCTCCCACCTGTAAAATGGCCTGATTTGGAAACAGAATCTCTGCAAGAGTTAGGATGAGGTCAGATTATATCTGGAGATACCTAGACATAGACAGAGGAAGAAGACCATACAGTGACCGAAAAATGAATTAGAGCGATGCTACCACAAGCCAAGGACACCAAGGACTCTGGCAAACACCGGAACCTGGAGGAGGCTGGGGCTAAAAGTATTCACTCTGCACATTTAGTCTCCAGGACTGAGAGAAGCCCTTTTTGCCGTTTTAACCACCCACTTGTACTTTGTGGGGGAGTCCTGGAAAACGGACACGGCTGGCATCCAGTCACTCTTTGGCACGGCTGCTGTGCCGGGAGAAGGCAAACTGGTGGAGACTAACAGTACCACGCACAGGTGAACAGCACGAAAGCCAGAAATCCATTCTCTTCACAGCTCTGCTCTGAACCACTTCCCTACACCAGGCCTCTCCTGCTCTCACAATATTTTATTAAAAGCTTCCAGAAGGGGGACTGGACCCCCTCTCCTCTCTTGTGATGGGCTGACAAGTGCATGACGAAAAGCTGAATGAAACCGACAACACAAAGTGTCCCTGTGCACCTGCGGACACCTCCTTAGCCACCTGGGGATGCATTTCCTCCTCAGAAGTCCTCTCCTCACTGCGGGAGGTGCTCTGTCTGCGCACAAGGTCAAAGCAGAGACCTGGGGGCTTCCACGAATATTCTGTCACCTTCTGTCCTGGAGGGGCAGGGTGCTTGGGTGGGGAGTGGGGCCCGTGGAGAAGGTGGCACTGCAGGGTTTGGTACTGAGCGGAGGGAAGGCGTCATCATCATCATCCTCCAGCAGGTGAGAATGGGGGTGCAGCACACAGGATGAAGGGCGGCAAGGGCCGACAGAGACTTGTGAGGCCGCAGGGACGTCAGGAGCAGATGGC